GCCGGATCAGAGTGCTGATCTGAACACCGGATAACCGTTTCGGTCGCCTGGTTAACTAGTTCACTAGTTACTAGCCGGTCCTAAGCCCGGGTAAAGAGGGAAGGTTGGGCATAGGGCTACCAACCCTATCCCCTAAAACAAATCTAACCGCTAAAGAAACTTCAAAGCACAAACGAAATATATTAAAAAAACAAAATTATCCCTCACTGGAATCAGAGAGGCGAAATGACGCCAGTTGGTGAAAGCCTTCGGGAAGCCAATTGGCCGATGTGTCTTCTCTTGATGAAAGCGAAAGTAAACGTGGGACATGGAATGTCTGCACGTTGTTTGGACCAGGCAAGGCAACCCAGATTGCAAAGGAGATGAGAAGGTATCACATTGAAGTGCTTGGAATTTGCGAAAGCAGATGGAATGGGAGTGGACTCTCCAAACTGTCAACTGGAGAGTAGTCAATAATCTACTCCGATACTGTCACCCAGACGACAACCACGAGCACACTGAGTTTTCGAGTGGCTATCATGATGTCCCCAAGAGCATCGAAGGCTCTCATGCAGTGGGAACCAATCTCCTCCAGTATCTGGATCATGATAGCAAGGTTCAACTCAAAAGGAAGGAAGGTCACAATCATACAATGCTACACTATGCACCTACAAATAATGCAGAGCAAGAGAAAAAGGAGGAATTCTACAGACAACTTCAATCAACACTGAACACGACCCCATCTCAGTTGGCGATATCAAAATTCTAATGGGTGGAGTGACATGAATGCCAAACTGGGAGCAGACAACACAGGAAGAGAACTAACCATGGGTCGAAAAGCGCTCGGTGAAGTGATGAACGAGAATGGAGAATTGTTTGCAGAATTCTGGGCATTCAGCGATTTGGTGATTGGAGGCAGTGTGTTCAAGCACAAGGATATCCACAAAGCGACATGGATTTCACCAGATACCAGGACACACTAAAAATCAGATCGACTTTGTCTCATTTTCAAGAAAGTGGAGACGCAGTCTACTTGACACAAGGTCAAGAAGAGAAGCAGATGCAGGTTCAGACCACTCACTGTCTGGTGCAAGGAACCTGCTTTCAAAATCAAGTTAAAAGCCTTCAAGGAAGCTGGTGATAGACCACAGTTCAAGTACAACACTCGGAAACTGAAGGACGAAACTACAAAGGAAATCTTCACAGCAGCCATCAAGACAAAATGGGAGATATCGAGGAACATCCCTGAAGAAACCTGTGTGGAAGAACATTGGAAGTCTTTGAAAGCTATGTGGAAAGAAACCTGCACAGCCGTATTAGGAAGGAAGAAGAAAGAAGATAAGGAACGGATCTCGACGGATACATGGAAGCTGATAGAGCAGGGAGAGGAGGATGGTGAAGCAGAAGATAAACCAGTGCAAGGATGCTCAACGACGAGAGGAACTGAGCACAATGTATAAAACACTGGACAAAGAAGTGAAGAAGAGTGCACGCAAAGACGAAAGACACTTCTACGAAACACTGGCAAGTGAAGCAGAATAAGCTGCAGGTAAGAGAGACAGAGACCTGACAACATTGTATCAAATAACCAGGTTACTATCTGCAAGGGAAGAGACCAACGCAGACGAAACCAATAAAAGATGATGACGGAAATTGAATTACGAAAGAAGAGAAACAGAGGAAACAATGGGCCGACTACTTCAAGAAGCTCTTGAATCGACCACCACCTGCACTTCATCCAGAAATACCACCAGCAGCCCAGCCACAGGACTACAAGTGAACATAAATCCTCCAACAAAAGTGAAAGTCCTGAACACCATAAATCTACTGAAATGCGGGAAAGCAGCAGGACCAGGTGGGATCCCGCCAGAAGCACTGAGAACAGACGCAGAGACAACAGCGGACATGCTCACACCACTATTGCAGAAGGTGTGGAAGGAAGGGAAGGTACCTGCCTATTGATTGGAAGATAGGTTACCTTGTCAAACTCCCGAAAAAGGGAAACCTCAGTGTTTGCAAGAACTGGCGCAAAGTGACGCTACTGTCCACCCCAAGCAAAATATTAAGCCGCATCATCCTAGAGAGACTCAAGGATGCACTGGATTCAAAACTACGACCGGAACAGGCAGGCTTCAGGAAGTACAAATCATGTGCGGACCAAATTGCAACGCTTCGCATCATCATAGAAGAGAGTATAGAATGGCAGTCAACTCTCTACCTCAACTTCATCGACTTTGAGAAAGCCTTTGACAGCGTCGAGCGAGAAGTAATCTGGGAACTGCTTCAACACTACGGTTTTAGTGCCACAAACCTTTATCAACCTCATTCAACAACAGCTATATGAAGACGCCACATACCAAGTAATTCACAATGGGAAGTTCAGTGATGCTTTTGAAGTGAAGATAGGAGTAAAACAAGGATGCCTACTATCACCCATGATATTCCTGATTGTAGTAGACTGGACTCCATCATGCGACAAACAGTGAGGAGCGAGAAGAGGGGGATACGCTGGACCGCGGAAAAGAACCTAGAAGACTTGGACTTCGCCGATCACTTGTGTCTGATGTCGCACAAACTTGAAGATCTACAGGCGAAAACTAACAAGTTGGCAGAAGAGGCGGGTCAGCGAAGACGGGACTTCTATCAGATGAGTGTAGAGAAGACAGAGGTGATGAAGATACCCAACCAACAACAACAACAAGCTCCAATCACCATCAATGGGAGAAACTTAAAGGAAGTAGCCTCCTTCACTTATCTAGGAAGCACTGTTTCAACTACAGGCGGGACAGACGAGGACGTCAAAGTCAGAATAGGAAAAGCAAGTCAGGCGTTCATTAACCTGAAACCAGTATGGAGACTGACTGCACTCAGCATGTGGAAGAAGATCCGGATTTTCAACACCAACGTCAAGTCAGTGCTTCTGTATGGTTCAGAGACTTGGCGCGTTACGAAAGGGATTTCCAACAAACTACAGATATTCATCAACAACTGCCTACACTCACTCGATACTGAAGATCAGATAGCCAGAAAGAATAAGCAACAAGGGAGAAATAAAAGCTTATGGACTGTCGTGGAGCCAGGTTCAAAAGATTTCAGAGAACAGAGCGCATTGGAGACGTGCTACTGAAGCCCTATGTTCCATTAGGAACCCAAGGGACAAATAATAATGATTATAATAAGTTATTATTATTAATTGTCCCTTGGGTTCCTAGAGGAACATAGGGCTTCAGTAGCACGTCACCACTTCACTCTGTTATCTGGAGTCTTTTGAACCTGGCTCCACGACTACCCATAAGCTTTCATTTCTTCCTCACACGATCTCCTCCATACCACCCTCACCTTGGAGGCCCAACTCGTTGTTTCCCATGCGGGTTCCACTCGATGGCGTGGCCTGGTGCGTGATGTCCCCGAATGGTCTTTTCAGTGCATGTCCAATCCAATCCATCTCTACTTTATTCTTCTGCATATTTGTTGGTCGGTTGGTTCGTTGCCAGCCAGCTAGAGTAAGTTTTCTGTTGCTTATTCTTTCTGGCCTTCTAATCTGATCTTGAGTATCGAGTGAGCGTTGGTGACAACTGTTGATGTATGATGTCTGTAGTTTGTAGGTTGTGGGAGATGTTTTTCGTAACGCGCCAAGTCTCCGAACCATATTGAAGCATTGACTAGACTGACATTAATGCTGAAAATCCATATCTTGTTCTTCATGCTGAGTGGAATGCAGTTCTGTGCAGTAGATATCCACAATGATTTCAGATTGATGAAGGCGTGTCTTGCTGTGTTTCCGATGCTGGCCTTAACGTCCTCATCTGTGCCTGTGCCGACTGTAGTTGAAACGATGCTGCCTAGGTAGGTAGGTAGGTAGGTAGGTGAAAGACTACTTCCTCTAGGTTTCTCCTGTTAATGATGATTGGTGCTTGTTGTTGTTGTTGTGTTGGTTGGGTGTCCTCATCACCTCTGTCTTCTCTACATTCACCTGAAGGGAGTCCCGTCTTCGCTGCCCTGTCTCTTCTGCCAACTTGTTGATTTCCGCCTGTAGATCTTCGAGTTTATGTGACGAGACATCAGACATAAACCATCATCGGTGGTTTAATCGAAGCCTTATAGGGTCTTTTCATCGGTCAAGTCAGCGTATGCCCCTCTTCTCGCTCCTCGCAGTTTGTTGCATGATCCAGTCCAGTCCAATCGACCACAATCAGGAAGATGATCAGTGATAGTAGGCCTTTTCAAAGTGGATGAAGTTGAGGTAGAGAATTGACTGTCATTCTATGCTCTGTTCTATGATGATGCGTAGCGTAGCGTTGCAATTTGATCCGCACATGATTTGTATTTCCTGATGCGAGTCAGCCTGTTCGGGTAGTAATTTTGAATGCAGAGCATACTTTAATCCCTCCAGGATGATGCAGCTTAGTATTTTGCTTGGGGTGGAGCACGATTCCGTGCGGTTCTTACGGAGACTTATGTCACCCTTCTTTGAGAGTCTGACAACGTAGCCCTTCTTCCAATCAGTGGGCAGGTATTTTGTCTTCTTCCTTGCAAACCTTCTGCAGTAGTGGTGTGAGCATGTCAGCTATGCACTCGGAAAAATTCAACATATTGAGCTGGCTAACTAACCTACGTGAACTGGTACACCTAAATTAAGATGTTTAGTAAGTCACTTGCAAAACACACTATGATGTATATGTACTTAGTAATGATGAACCGATGTATTTTACAACTTAAAAGATAGTCTGATAAATTATCTGGACCCCCTGAATCATATAATTTTCCAAAAAGATCCATAAGTTCATTTTAAAAGGTTGGTAACACGAGAATTTAGTGTCGTTTTTGACACCATATGACTGGAATCAATGCGTATATATTGTTGAGGACTGCTAAAATTGAATCTAAGACAGTTGTCTTGCATAGTGTTCTATCAATTTTCACTGACTTTTCTTGTATATTAAACTCGAAACATTTTTATTGTTATAAATGCTTAGAAAAAGACGTTTAATCAATAATCTATTCCTTTCTTTCCCGTCTAGGACTTAATCATGTATGGGCATCTGAAGGTATACGTTATTTGGCTTTAATTTCGAAAGCTATTTGGATTTTAGCTATTTTCACTACAATTTCTTGTCTTATTCTATCAACATCTGTTGGATTAACTAGTACACCAGAACTTTTGTATGCATTTCAAATCTCATTTTTAATGGATTGTTACCTTGTAAGTATTTTTCATCATCTCAGTAGAACAATAGGTCCAAACGCTATTGGTTATGCGTTAATCCGACAAGTTTCACTGTCTAAAAGGTTAGTTTTCTGTTGCCTTTTTTTTTTGTATATGTTTGACATGGGTTGGATAATACAATGTGAAATTCAGGTATCTGTTCAAGTGTGATGGTAGTTCCCTGTAAATTCTGATATCTAAACTGACATCTTTTCCCTTGATTGTATCTACTTTCTAGTTTGAAGAAACTCTTGATATGATCTGATTTCAAAGCAGTTAATGTTTCATCAACATATCGCTAACATACTTTTTGATTAAGTTGCAATGTTCGTAACTGTCTATAAATATTTGTGCTACAACTGGTGAATATTAGATATCTGATCGATATCCTTACAGTTTTCTGATATATATTTTATCCTGAAAGTTGAACACTGCAGAAGTTGGACGACTGTATCCCCTACCCAGGATTTCTTCAGTCGAAAAACTCTAGTTCACTTATTGTGTTTATGTTCAGTGATGAGTTAATTAGCAGTAAACGATTATTTAGACTTATCAAGGAAACTGGGGGAGAAAGGTCAACAACACTTAGTGAGACTATAGCGTAGAAGGACGGATCTGCGATTCGCTCGCAGGGTAGACGACTGGAACGATGGACAGAACACCTGGAGTAACAGTTTAACTGACCTCCAGCCACCATTGCGTTGCCCGCTATCCATTCGGATCTTGGATGGAACACTAGCAGGAGTCGAGAAAGCGGTAGGTAACCTGAAACAAGTGAGAGCACCAAGACTAGATGAACTAACTATTGAGGTATACAAGGATGGTGGTGCAGTGCTCTTAGTTAGGTTAACGGAAGTGTCAAACAGTATAAGGAAATCAAGTACGATCCCCTCTGACTGGTATAAATCACTGATTATCCCAGTCTTCAAGAAAGACAAGAAGTCCTCTTGTGATAACCACGGAGGAACCAGCCTCACGAACATAGTGTTTAAGATCCTAGGTTCTATAATCATTAGACGCCTGAGTGGAGTTCGGGAACACCAAGGCCGAGAAAATCAGGCAGGATTTAGAGCCGGCCACGGGTGTATCGACCAAATATTCACACCGGGCCAGGTTTTGGAAGACATACACGCTTACCGACGCCCGATACTAGCTATATTTCCCGACCTGAAGGCGGAATTCGATTCGGCTGATCGAGAAGTATTATGGCAGTGTCTCTTACTGAAAGGCGTACCGAGTAAGTAAATCACCTTATTGAAGGCTCTCTATTTGAACACTTGTGGGCGTGTTGGAGCCTATGGTCAGATGTCTGAGTAGCTGGACTCGTCGAGTGGTTTCCGTCAAGACTGCCCACTCTCTCCATTCTTATTCAATTTTATCATAGATGTTATTATGGAGTTCTCCCTCTCGTTATCTGACTATACAGAAGTTGACCTAACCGCGGGAGAATTTTCGTTAGACCTAGAATATGCAGATAACATAGTCCTGTTAGGTGAAGACACTGACAAGATGCAGAGTCTTCTGGACACTTCGAGTGGCAATTCGAGAATGTTTGGGATGCGTTTCTCACCACCACCACCAAATGGAGATTGCTGCTCCAGGATTGGTCTTCAACGGTGCCTCGGCTAACAATAGAGAGTGAAGTGGTTGAGTGTATCGACCACTTCACCTGCCTGAGAAGTAGGATCAGCCCTGGTAGCCCAGTGGCCGATGAAATCTCTGCACGAATACAAAAGGCTTGACAGGCTTTCGCCAACTTACCCCACCTATGGCGCCACCGCGATATCCGATCGTCTATTGAGAGTGGCGTGTACTGCACAGCAGTCCTCTCTGTTCTACTGCATGGTTGTGAAACATGGCCATTGAAGTTGGATGATATGAGAAGACTTCAGGTGTTTGACGACCGTTGCCTTTGTAGTACAAGCCGTATTCCGTGGTGTCACCAAGTGAGTAAGGCAGACGTCAGGCGTAGAGTATTAGGGAAGAAGAAGAGGTGAGTCAGTTGACATGGTTGTGAACCATCATCGACTAAGATGGTTGGGATATGTGTACGTATGCCTAGTCGCCAATTGCCTCGTCACACAATGTTGGTCGAAGTAGATTCAGGTTGGAAAAAGGCTGTGGGCGGCTAGACTAAAACATGACATGAATGTATGAGGTCTGTGACTGTTGGTTTGAGATATGTAGGTAGATGGAGACTGGGTGGTCAGCGTCTGTGGGACAAGAGGAGCCAGTGGTTGGAGACTGACTGTAGGTGGGTGGTGATATGGCTGAGAACCGATGTCAGTGACGCATATGTATCCACAGACACACACACATTATCCTCATGTTAACGATGCTATACCGAATCTCACCATTTTCTCATTCTTCCCTTGTCTCATTTCGTACTTTATATTTCTTTTGACTGAATTTTCTTATCTTCATCTTCCACTTGACTGTCTTTTTACTTGATGTAGTGATATGGAGTGTGGCAACTCAGACGATCACGCAGTGATACCTGGTCCGATGTTGATGGATGATGCTGATTAATTAACCTCCATGCAATGTATGACTCATTGTCTACTCCACGAATGTGCACGAGGTTGTTGTTAACCGTTGATTTAATTGTGTAACCGGGTTCGCTAACCTTACTTATTATGCACACTCTACTAGAATTATTAGTTTTATAGTTAGTAAAACAAGCCACTTACCTTACTTTATTTCGTTATATAGTCCTTTTGTCATCTGCTGCTTTCAGTTAAACCTCCTGATGCATAACTACTATTTAGTTGCCTTCGCGAAATCTAGAAGTTATTGTATTGAATTTGGGGGTTTGTGAGGATTTAGTGATCTCTCTTATTGCTATTTATCATGAACTCATATCAGTTGGAGGAACATTGGAAGCTTGGGAGCACTGGACAGCTGTTACATCCTAGTATGGGACTCCTCAGCAGCGCTCACCGAAGACGCTCAGGTTCCGTGGCCAGGATGTTACCATTGAGCCAGTAGGTCGGAATCCAATGGTTCATGTTTCCAAAATCTGTCAGTTCACGGCACAGCGCGACCATCACCTAATGTCATGGTTGAGTATTTGTCCTCACAACCACCAGGTTTTCCCCACTGGTCACTACCTCTCATTGGGACTTCAGGAATCCCCTCGCAAAGCTAGTTCAATTGAAATTGGGTGTTTGTGGTTAATGTAGTGACAAGTTTCATACTAGAACGAAATAGCTGTCCAGTACTTCTAGGTTTACAGTGTTCCTCCATGTCAGTCCATGATGAATACCAAGTTGAACAGTTACTGTATTATTGTCATTTCTCTCAGTAAACGTTTCTCGAAAAAGGAGTAAACTTCATCGAAGCACTAGTGCTCAACTTAAACCTAGAAATGTCATGCCTAGCACAGAAGTATGAGTATACAGCTTGAACACTGGGGTAGTATGTAATTCCACATTAGATTTGGTTATAAAAATAAAGTGCACAATTGCAAAGTATTATTTATACTGGGTGATGATTGAAGGTGAGATGGAAACCTGGACCGCGACCGTATTCGAACCAGGGACCACCAGGTTTCGGGCCGATGCTCTACCAACTAAGCTACGAGGTCCGACCACTGACCAGATTTTTATTTCACTTCAAGCACCAAGGGTTTTACCCGACGACTACCATGTGAATTCGTGATGCGTTACTACCGCTTGATCATATTCAGGCTGGTTGCCTATTCAAGACTTCTCATCCCAATCCAAATGTAACTGAATCCCTCTCTAATTCAGTTAGATTGGTGATTGAAGTGAAATAAGAAATTTGGTCGGCAGTTGGACGTCGTAGCTCAGTTGGTAGGGCATCGGGTTGGTAACCAAGGCGGTCGCTGGTTCGGATCTGACTGCGGTCCAAACTTTCATCTCTCCTTCAATCACCCAGTATCAGTGCTAGTCTGCCAAACTACGGCTATCTCAGATAGTCAAATGATAAAGTATTATTTACTTGATGACGACGTTTCAAGCATCAATTATTAGTCAGAATCCTATCAAAGTAATCATATAACTTTAGGAATCTGACTTTTATAATCCGATCACTTTATATTGTTTGTTTATTTTTTAGTTGTCAAATTTGACCCATCTCGAGTATTATTGTTGTATCATTCCTACTACATGCGTTTGATATTGACCCAATATTTCAGTAATCAATCTTCGTCTTCACTTATGTTATACTTTAGTACAATTGTTTTATCATACTCTATTTTAGTGGTGGAGTTACCTTAATATAAGTGTAAAACTTGGGCACTGTGGTAGAATGTAATTCCATATTAGATTTGTTTATTTGATATATAGCGCACAGTGATACAGTATTATTTACTTGATTATGTTTCGAGCATAAATTATTACTGCTCATAATCATATCAATGTGGTATGATATGATTATGAGCAATAATTTATGCTCGAAACATAATCAAGTAAATAATACTGTATCACTGTGCGCTATATATCAAATAAACAAATCTAATGTGCAGTTACCTTCTAGATTATTGGTCTATGCAGGGTTTTAGCTAGATTAGTATCTTTGGTTACTTCAACTGACCCCGATCGGCTAGTTTAACCTATTTACTTAATCTCACAATTATCACATAGTATTTGGTAGATCAAATTATTTTGTCTAATTTGGTCAACAGGATCCTTATCTCTGTGTGAGTGTGTAGGTTTAAACATCACCCTAATTCCAACCTTGTTGAGAAGTTTGAATAAATTTTCTGATTTTCCTTCCTTATATGGTAATATAGTAGGCACTTTGAACCTCGTTCTACTCGTGTTGTCTTATTCATATTTGTATAACGGTTATTACTTCATTCTTTGTTTTCTTACGAATTTCATTATAAACTCAAAAAGCAATTATCAATTAGTAACGTTTCTTTCATATGACTAACGAGTTTTCTAGCTCTATTATTGAGACATTTGACTACATCTGCCTTAACTGAGGATGGATGAAATGATACTTGTTAGAGTGTATCGGGTTCTTGGATACGATAATGTCTAAAATACCATCTGTTCTGTAGCTTTTTTTTCTTACGATGTATCCTTGAATTCCCTAGTAAAGCTCGAAAACTTAC